CTCTCTTTGGAGCCACCTTGTATCCTAAAAGAACCTTTTCTTCCTTCTCTTTGCCAGTGGATTAGTGTTGAACAATAACATGCTATGATCTGATCCATATGTTTCCAAATGGTCACAACTAGCACCCTCAAAAGTTTGATACCAAGCTGGACTGCTTAAGCCTCTATCCAATCTCTGTCTAACCTCCCCTTCTTCTTTCCAATTGTTACTCCATGTCCAGGGGTTACCTTTGAATCCTATATCTACCAGGTCATTAGTTCCTATGAATTCCTTAAAGTCCTTGAAACTCCACTCTTCTCTTAGCCTACCACCCCATTTTTCTTCATTTGAGGCAATATCATTAAAATCCCCAGCCAGGAGCCATCTGCCCCCCCCTTTAGAGTCTTTTTCTTCTCCTAATAACATCCCACTGGTTCTTTCCGATTCTGCTCTCACAGCTAGCATAAATTCCAATTAGCTACCAATCCTCCTTGCTGTTTAAATCCTTAACATGAGCTTCTATGGTGAAGGCTGTAGTAACTACTCTCATGACATTTATATTTCTGTTCCACATTAAGGTCATTCCACCCGCTCTATTCATAGCTTCCACCACTGTCATCTCATCAAATCTGAGGATTGTTTTGACTTTTTCCATGTATTTAATCCTATTTTTGGTCTCACTTAAGAAAACTATATTTGGAGCGAAGAGGTTGTTAGCCTCCCTCAGCTGGGGAACTATCAAGAGGCTCCCCACTCCTTGACAGTTCCACACCAGAACCTTCATTTATCTTTGAGGGGCCATGTATGGCCAGCCCCTACGCCTTCTATTCCTTCCATCCTTACTTCAATTGTTAGTAGATCAACCTTGTTCCTCCACTACAACATCTGCAATCTCTTAATCGACCAGACTTATCTTTCTTTTATCTTAGCGCCCCTCAGGTTGGAGTTTCCATCTAGTTATTGCAGAGCTTTTCCAGGGGTCTCAGTTGTCTTTTCCCTCTGCTGTACTGCCTTCTTCCACCTCTTTTTTGTTTCTCTAAACTTTCTGGATCTATTAGCATGGGATTCTGGTCACCCCCTTGTGTCATAGCTTCCACTGTTAGGGCCTCTTTCAGCTCCTTTGCCACCCCAGCTAGGCTCATCTTTGATGACTCAGCCTCTCTCTCAAACTACTGGTTTTGGTTCTCTTTCTGACTTCTTTCTTGTCTCCTCACGGCATTTCCAACACTACCTCCTTCAGCCATAGGAGTAGAACTCATGATGCTCACATTGGTCTTGTTTCCTCCATTTACTGGTTCATTTTGGTCTTGCTTCCATTCTCCATTTCTGTCCTGATGGGGTCCTCCCACTTCACTGCTTTTTTCCTTGTCACTCATTCTTTTGTTCCATTTTTTCCCTAGGACGTGCCCCTCTGTCCTCTCCTGCCTGTCAACTCCTAGACCTTGCACTTGTGGTTCCTTGTTTCTAACATATTTAGGAACCATTTCCCCATTCCTAAAGCCCCAGTAACTTCTTTCAGGAATATACCTACTCTTTTGTTCTTTCTGTGGCGATGCCTTTCCTCCATTTGCTCTTAACCATGGCCCAAACTGGTTTTCTGACTTCCCTTTGATTATAGTGATGAAACACTTACTGTTCCTTTCATTGTGCCCAATTAAACCACATTTGTAGCAAAAATTCGGGCATCTTTCATATTTAAAGCCCAACCATTTGGTGGTTCCGTTCATTTTGACAGTTGTTCCCCTCAGCAAAGGTTGATATATGTCAGCAGTCACTAAGATTTTAAGGTGTCTTCCTTCTTTCCCTCCTACTTGGGGGACTATTCCATCTCTGACTTCGTAGAATACCTTGCCAATTTTCATTCCTGTCTCCTTTGATATCCAGTGCACTGGTAAGTTCCATATCTGCACCCACAGTGGTGCCAGGTTAAAAGCTTCTTCGTCCTCTTCTACCCCATCATACCAGTTCCTAAGCACCAGTATCTGGTTGTCCAAAACCCAAGGTCCTCCAGTTAAGATTCTTTCTTGTCCTCCTCGCAAGGAATGTAGAACTGGAATAGGTTGGGACCTAATTCCATTATCCTGATATCTCTAGGATATCCCCAGGCAGAGTTAGTTGATATAAGAAAGCACAAATTTTGTAATGTAGAGAAAGAAGATTGCTTTTGTACAGTTGCCTTTAAATCAGAGCAGTGAAACTCTTTAATCAGAAGCATCGTTTCAATAGAATTTGAATTTCCAAACATTGAGCATCTGCCACCACTGTACTAGTCTTTCTTTGAATATACTGCACAAAATTCTATCCAATTTCCATTAGTATAGCAAAATTCTAACTTTAGTTTGCTTCTTCCCTATAGCTGGTAAAGTCAAAGACAATATACATGTTGATTGTAATGATGATGTTGTCTATTATGTCTAAGCTTGAGTAAAGACTAGACTCTTTGATTTCCTTGGACACCCTGAACACAAATTGATACATGGATTGCTTCCATTTCATCCAAGATCTGTAGAATTAATAACCCGTACTTATGTAGCAATGGTACAAGTAAGCATTTTTTACTGTTGTGGCACTGCAATTGGCATATATTCTTCCCACAGTGTAATGAATGGCCAGTCAGTAGTAACATTTGTGAATGCGGGGGCAGCCACAACTCGTGGATCACTAGAAGAAACTTACCCAAGTTTTATTGCATCCTTGATTTTTCATCCATGTCCTGGACATGGTTCAAAGACTCGGCCGAGTCTGAGACGACTAGGCCGAGTCGTCACTGTCTTGGGCCCTTCGGATAGGATACCGGGACGATACTATTCCAAGATACTTGATTCACTGAGACGTCACCGTGAAGGGTTGAAACTGCGGAATCACACTAAATCACTCCGAATCAACTCGATTTTTTATTATTTTTACTAATTTTTTAATTATTTTTGTTTACCATATTTTTTACAATTTTTAGAATATTAAATATTTCCAAAATTCGCGTCTCGTCAAGACCGCGACCGATATGTCGAAACCGATGTGAAACAGTCCAAGCCAAGACCACAATCGCGACCGCAACTTTGAACCCTGGTCCTGGATTGCCTAAGGGTGCTTCACTTTTGATGCCTTCTCAACTCTGAGCAGTCCAAATCTGTTACAGGGAGATATGTGTTTCATGCATCAACCTTAGCTGCTCTAAAAGGTAAAGCTATGAATACTGAAATCTGCATCCAGTGGTCACCAATGCTACTCGTGGTAGAGCTGTAACGGGACTTATCTGGCAGTGCATAATAGCCACATCTCAAGCTAGATTCAGATCTTCAGCTGCCCTCGATGGTTAGGCTTGTCACCATTGGGATTGATAAATTGGACAAAGTTTTCTTGAAGATGTGAAGGCTGAAGACGAGCCTCCAGTCAATTTAACACTTTGTCTCTTTCAAATTTTTGTAATGATGGAATCTATGGAGCTTTGGATGGGGGAGGACATGCACTTGGGAGTGCTAGCATAGACTCCATTGGACAACCAAATTTTGTTATCCTCATGAATTGGTGATCGAATTGAAGCATGGATATGGTTAAAAGAAGAAAAATTGACTATATTTGAGAAGATCCCTGAGCTACTCCATTTTGTTATTTTAAATCCTCGCTCATTTTATTATCCATTCAATCATCCATGCAAAAGAATCACCAAGGTCCCATTATCTTAGCATTACACAATATTCGACCTAAAGAAAGTAGAGAAACGGTGGCACATAAGCCTTCCAAAGCCCAAGGTAGGGAACAAAGAATTTTTCAAGCTCTATCGAGTATGCATTCGACTTTCCTGTTGGACTACACTTCTCTATTGAGGTCAAAGCTAGAAATGGTCATGTCACAAATGATCTGACTGAATCATTCAGTAATTAGGTTAGTCATTTTGGAGACCAACTTATAATCACATTGTTAGAGGGTGACAAGGATTGGGAAAAGACATGAAAAGGTCCAGCACAGGGAACATACACTTGGCCAAAAATAGTCGCAAGAATTAACAAACTGGAAAACATTTTAGGACTAATGTTATAACTTTCATTGCAACACCGATCTATTCTAACCTTAGTAGCCAAAACCTGTGATTGCAAATGTTGAGAACTTTCTGGTATTCCTTATGGACTTGGCCTCCGGGATGCACATGGGGTTATAACACAACCCATTGCTGATTAGATAAGATTAAAACTAGCTGAATACTCAGCTAAGGTGGCAGGTAAGAAGTCACAATTTAGCAGTTTAGATACAGTTTGTCGTGTGACGAAGGTTTAAAAATGTTGTTGTGCCATCAGACAATCCCATCCCCTTACATCCAAAATCATGGACGCGATTGACAAGTCAACTGTTTCTGATGATTTTTTCGAATTCCACAGGATGTACATTCATTTATTCATGGTATAATTCACTTTGAAGATAAAATAAATATAGAACAAATTTTTTTGAATCCTACACATTCTATTAAAAATGATATACATGCACTAATCTAAACTTTAATTTATCTCTTTTTTTTTTTTTTTGTCATTCATGAGTTGAACTTTTTAGAAACGGTCATGCTGATGACCGACCTTACCATATCTTGAAAATTATATTATGCATCTTTATCTCTCTATGCATTATCGAGCCAAACACTTGTCAATACCTTGTCAAATAACAAGCTATTAATCTCCAAGAGAAAAAACAGAAAGAGCTTCATTGTTCACTGAGGGACAAAGATTCCATGTCCATAATTCACCAAAAGCTAGATCACACAAAAATGCACACGCACACACAAATCATCTACACCAAGTTCATAAAACTTATCTCCTTAATTCATACACTGAGAATTCAGAATCCCTAACACCACCACACACAACCCCCCCCCCCCCCCCACACACACACACAACCAAAAACCCCAAACAACAAAATAAAAAACCAAAAAAAAAGACAAATTCAAATTGCATCAGTATGCTTTGATCAGAAAATAGTGAATATCTCTTCGAGCATGGAAACATGTAGCATAAGCAAAAATACAACAGTTAAAGGTCGCTAATGCTGCCAGGAAATAAATAAATAAATAAATCAGCCTTCTACAAAAACTTCGAAATATGCAAAACTCCAAAAAGCTTCGGAAATTTAGCATCGGAGAATTGCTTACAAATGTTTTTTACATCCTTTTATTTTTTTGAATGAGAACATTCGAATCCTTCATTGAAACATCAGCTTCCGCTGATATACTTACAACAAAATGAATTGATTGAACTCCAAAAGCAGCAGCACCTTTTTCTTTTAACCACTACCTAGCAAAAGCAAATCTAGACGGACTAAACGGGGTAATATCAACAATGCTAGAATGACCATCAAGCACAAGCTCAGCCAAGGAGGCACCAGTGGCAGGGCCATTCAGGATCCCCCAACAGCTATGTCCAGTCCCAACAAAACACCCCTTTACGCTAGGCATTTCGCCTATAACTGGCATTCCATCATCCGTGCACGGCAAAAAGCATGCTTGTGCTGCCTTTACTGTTACTTCACTTTCCGCTAGATGGCTTGACACATTGCTAGCCACTCTCTTGAGCACTCTTATGGATTCTGGGACTGGTGATATTTGCTCTGGATCATCTGGAACCTCAGCCCCAGCTGACATCCCACAGATGTATACTTCCCCTGTTGGACGAGGATAGATTTCTGGGTCCATAGGTTTCCCACCTTGGGACGAATAATAACTCAGAAACAGTGCATGCGGAGTAATAGCATCAGGATCTTTTGGTTCCAAGATGATACTGTGGGCTTTAAGCCCAGACACCCTAAATGAGGACCTTAACAGGGGCAATTTACTTGTCCAAGGCCCAAGAGCCAGCACAACAGCATCAGCCTCGATCCTTGTCCCTCTCTCCAGCACCACCGCCTTCACTCTTCCCTCAGCCACCTCCACCTCCTCCAGCTTCCCTGTCACCACCTCGAGGCCATATTCCTCAACCGCCTTGTTCAAAAGCGTTTTGGTGAAGAGCTTAGGATGCACTTGGGCCGTTGTCTCAGTAGTACCAAGAATCCTGGGGCTTTTAGCTGGGCCATCAACCCAAGAAGGGAGTTTTGGGCCTTGGCTTTTATACAACGGGCTTCCAGAAGATGATGAAGCTTCAGTGATGTCTAGACTCAGAGTAGTGAGGGGACGGTAACCGTAAGACTGGGGACCATTGAGCTCTTCGGACAGTAACCGGTGGAGATTGAAACTGGCACGTGCAAGGGATGACAGGGACCCACCGTCGCACCAATCAAGGGCAAGGAAGCCTCCAGCCTTGCCTGAGGCAGCGCAGGCAACGGAGGATTTCTCAATTAATGTTACGACTGCGCCCTTTTTGGATAAGAAGTATGCAGTGCAGACTCCGATGACTCCACCACCACAAACCACCACTTTTTTACGTTGTTGAGCATCTGAAGAGGAATGGCGAGGAGGAGGAGCATATGAAGAACAGTTTGGAGGTGGTCAGTGTCTTTAAGCATCAATTAAAATAATTAAAACACTTCATATTTAAAAAATTTCAAACGTAATGTAACAGAAAATAATGTCAAAAACTTGAAAAAGTTACCCAAAAAATTAGAAGAATTACATACTTCTATGGGTGGGCTTCTTGTAAATATAGATTTTTTATTATATCAATAAATCAACAAATGATGACAGATTTTTTATTTTATCTTTTTGCAGCAACAAATAATATTAGATTCTGAAAAGACAAAATAATATTATACCTCCACAGATGTAGCTCACTGGCTCAGGTTGAGGATCCATTGGAAACCAGCGGTGAGAAAGTGAACTGGCTATGAAGGGAAATTTTCAAACAAATGTAAGACAAATTAATTCGGCTGTTCTAAATTGCACAGGATCAGCATGACAAATATGGGGAAGTGGGCATAAAACAAGATTGAGAATGCAAAAAATACATTTTATTCTTATGGGTATTTCCAAGAATCCTTAGAAGCCCTTAGGAAACAAACAAGAAAAACAATTATAGGGAACAAGAAACAAGACAGGCTTGTCCACATTAGATTGACACTAAATGACAGGAGACAAATGTGGCTAGAAAAGACAACATAAACCTTTCTGTCACCATTTTAACATCATAACTCTCTATATCAAGACTTGATTCTTCTGACTGAATATCATCAGACAGTAGCTTCTACAAGGTCCATTTTCATCAATAGCAATATTTTTGCCTCTACCTTGTACCCCAGGGCCCCCACCACCAAAGAAAAGTAAGATAAAATAAACAGGACTAAATCATTGTGATGCAGGAAAGCTCCAAATTCACATAACTGCCTATTTAAGTTCAGGAAGCTTGCGAAATAAGAAATTCCTTATTATCTGGAATATATTCTATTACACAAGCTCGAAATAAAGATCATTACCGTGCACTAAAACTTATTAGAACACACTGAAATATTACTTGGCTGATAATAAGGCGTAAACTTAGATTAAGAATGAAAGTAAAACTAAACTTAGCCTTAGCCTCTACTGCCAACAATCATACAAGGCAGATAAGACCTGCACAGAACTGAACTTAAAGCCATTAACGACTTGCAAACATATTTTTCAAAAATATCCATTTGACACATACTCCAACAACCTTTTCATCTCACATAAACTCTATCTTGTACAGTGATACAGTAAAAATTTTCCAGAAAGTCTCGGAAAAAGTAAAACTGTAATAATGAGATTAGCTGGAACTTAAACAGGTAGTTTAGGTGCTATCTAGTAGCTGAAAGTTCATGTACAATTAGGCTAGGAGATTCACTTGATTGGGCCATTTGGCCAATTAGTTACTCAATTTTGTTCATTTTTCATTGCTTTTTGTTTATAAGGCCTTTCACGCCTTTGTTCATCATCATTATCAGACTTGAATACCTTCAGCAATTTGTAATGGAATAGGCTCAGCCCAGCAACCCTATCTTCATCTCCTTTTCATAATTTTCCTGCAATTCTATACACCACCTTACCTATTTCCATATACTCTATTTTTACTTCATTTTCCCAGCTAATGAAACCAATCCCTTTCCAAGCTCCATTCCTTAATTTCAGTTCTTAATTCCCTTTATTATATTGGGATTCTGTCGGCTTCATTATAAAGATCCATATAGGGGTTCCTAAGAATCCTTATAACAATATTACATGATTGCATATGGTTAGAGAAAACTTATATCAGCTCAGTGTTAAGTTTAATTTAAATCTTCACTCCTGCTCCCGTACTGCTGACAAAACTCTCTAATTCAGTTAACCCTAAAAGTAAATATGCATTAAACGTAGTAAAATTAATAGACCTCAGAATTACAGAAATCACCGAATAATCAATTAATGAAACCCAAATTCAAAAAACAAGGAGATGGAAATCTTACTTGAATTTTTCTGTAGCTTGACGAACTGATCAATCCTACAAAAACCCACAAAAGATTTATTAGCTAACATCAGTATGCTTGAGAAAATAATTAAACAAAATGTATAGTTAAAAGGGCTAAAAGCGAAAAAGGTGAGGAACCATTATAGGAAAAGAAAGAACAAAAGAGAGCTACGAGCGGAAGAAGAAGAACACCCAGCGAGCAGCCGTGAGGAGGAAATGAAACAAGAAAATGCGGTCCCTCTTCTTTTAATTTTAGGGATAATTTCAGAAACCTCCTTGACGTTTCTAACAATTTCACTGAGTTCCCTTGAGGTTTGAAACATTACACAAACCTCCTTTATCATTTAATTTAAAACGATTTTGCCCTTATATATTTTAATGGAATTCTCTTATTTGGAATGCTTATATTTAGAATGAGTTTTAAAATTATTTTTTTCTTATTTTTCCTTCTTATACCTTTTTTAAAATTTTTCATCAATAAAACTGTAGAACTACTACTATTGTCTTTAGGTTTCTATTATAACCAAATGTCGAACAAGTAATTTTTTTAACAAGTTAATTTTATAAGTAATCCAATGTTGTTGCTAATCTTTATTCTATTTTTTGGTATTAAAATTAATAATAAATTAAAAAGAAATGACCTAAAAGCATTGCTAAATTATGATAATCCCACTACTCTAAAAAATTTATAAACTCTAAATGAATTATTTCAACATTTTCTTTTCTATCTTATAAATCTAAATCTATAATGAAATATCATAAAAAATATCATATCATAGTAATAAAATTATTATTATAGTTGTTTATCAAATAGTAAATATTGGTATGAAAAATTTGGCACATTTTTCTTATAAATTGTACTATATAATCTTATAATTGTATAAGAAAATAAATTAAAACTCATTTCACAAGGGCAATTTTGGGTATTCATTTAAAAAATGGGATAATTTAAGAAACCTGCCCTGAGGTCTCTGACAATTTCACTGAGCTCCCCTAAAGTTTGAAAAATTATACATACCTCCCTTATCATTTAAAATGACAGTTTTACTCTTAAATATTTTAATGAAATTCCTTTATTTGGTATGCTTATACTTAGAATGAGTTTTTAAAATTTTTTTTCATTTTTTTTCCTTCTTATTCCTTTTTAAAAACTTTTCACCAATAAAACTATAGAATAACTACTATTACCTCTAGTTTCTATTATAACCAAATATCGAACTAGTAATTTTTTAACGAGTTAATTTTATATGTTATCCAGTATTTTTGTTGACCTTTATTTTCTTTTGTTTGGTATTAAAATTAATAATAAATAAAAAAGAAATGGCCCAAAAGTAGTATTAAATTATGATAATCCCACCATTCCAAAAATTCATAAATTCTAATGAATTATTTCAATATTTTCTTTTCTATCTTATAAATCTAAATCCATAATAAAATACCATCAAAAGTATCATTTCATAGTAATAAAATTATTATTATAGTTGTTTATAGTAGATATGGACATAAAAAATTTGACACATTTTCTTTATAATTATACTAAATAATCTTATAATTATATAAGGAAATAAATTAAAACTCATTATATAAGGGCATTTTTGGGTATTCATTTAAAAAATTGACCAAGTCAATATTATTTTAAAGTTTTGTTACTAAAACTATCAAATTAAGAGAGGTAAGTGTAATTTTTCAAATCATAGGGGAGCTTAGTGAAATTATTAGAAACCTCAAGGGAGGTTTCTGAAATTATCCCTTAAAAAATTATCCAAGTCAATATTATTTTAAGGTTTTGGTACTAAAACTATCTAATCAAGGGAGATAAGTGTAATTTTTCAAATTTTAGGAGAGTTCAGTGAAATTGTAGGAAACCTTAGGGTAGGTTTCCGAAATTAACCCTTTATTTTAGGTAATATAGTCCTCCAACTAAATATTTATGGCTAGTTCTATCATACAGAGTGGCTATATAGCGGCACCACCCAAAACTTATAATTTGCTCATATTTGATTGTTCTGGCAAGGACAAAATAGGCCATACACATGTGACGGGTCAAAAACAATAGTTGGAGGATACATTGGCTAAATTTGAAGAAGAGGGAGGACCAATCTGGTTTTAGTAAAATTGTTGGAGGATTATTAATGTCATTTGTTTATGTAAGGTTCAAAGCAACTTAAGAGAAGGTGAATTGGATTGATCTAAAAGCTAAACAAGTGATAGCAAATTTTCACCTAATTTTTACTATTCAAATTAACCTAAGTGATTACACATTTAAATCAAGAAAAAGCAATAAAGATGAAGCAATTAAAACTACACAATAACTTAAAAGAAGGCAATAAAATAAAAGGAAAGGGAAACCGATTTATAGTGGTTTGGCACCCTTTTGGCACCTACATCCACTCCCAAATTGTTCCAATTTCGGAATTCAGTCCACTATTGTGCTTCTTCAAGGTTGGTGAAGCAAACCAATGTGTACATACAAGGACTCATCTTTTGCTCACACTAAACTCATTCTAGTTGAATCAAAGGTTTTATAACTCTCAATCTAACCTTATCTAATGCTACAATTGAATGCTCACTATATAATGAAGATCACAATCTTTTCAACCTCACAAGGATACAAGAGTACAAAGAAGGGAGTATTTTCTATCAAAATCATGCAAGAAGAGTTGTATTCAATGTAGGCAAATATCCTTTAATGTTCCAAACTTTAAGGAATTTATAAAACCCCGAAATCTAGTAAAAAATACCCCTGAACGGCTCTGCATTACATGCAAAAAAAAACTAACTGTTATATAGCTTAGCCGGCCTAAGTTTTTGCTGAGCAGTGGAAGTGGCATCTGAACTCTAGTTTCTTGTGTTGAGCATCATCACTTTGACTGGCTGAAGTATTTTGGCTGAAATCGGTGGCCAAAAACTTTTCCAGCATGCTTGGCCATTTCTGTTTTTTGACTTCAGATGGTGGCTGATTCTGTTTTTCAACTTCAGAGTGCTTGGCCAATTTTGGCCAATTCTATTTTTTGACTTCATAATGCTTGGTGAAGAGGTGAATTCTGACCGGCTGGAGTGAACCGTGTGCTGGTAGTGCTACAGCTGGAAAGGTCACGGCGGTTCTGGTCACCTGCTTAGGTTACAAGAGAGGCTGAATCCCCCGGTAGAACTCCGAAACTTAAGTCAGTTCGGAATTGGGAAAATAGTTTAATAGAAGAGAGAATCAGTGTATGATTTTACCAGAAAATTGGTCATCCCCTTCTTCAGTAGAAGCCTTGAGTATTTATAGAGGATGGACAGGAAAGAGGGACTGCTGGCACGGGTCCCTAGAGATCTGCCAGGGGCAGAGCATCAAGTTGATGTGATGGGCTTCTGCAAAAAGGCGCGCAGGAACAATTGTCAGAGTCAGGCGGCGCATGTCAGGGCATCTTTATCAGAAGTGTCAGAGGTCATGTCCCACAACTTCGGTGGTCAGGTCTCCATACTTTACTTCGGCCTTATGATAGAAGATCTTGGCCGAGGTGATAGCTGGGCCGAAGTCACGGCCCCGAGGGGACTGCTGAGGCGCGGGTTCCAGGAGTGCCACAGGTCAAAACCCCAGCACTATCCTAGCTGAAAATACCCTCCTCACTAAGCCCCCCAAGCCTTGGGAAGGGCGAGGTCGTTGCCTTCCGAGGTAGCTACTTCTCGAGGCTGACAAGAGTGTAGGACACGAAATACAGCAAGGACACGTCATGACTGCGCGGATGGGACTGGGAAGGAAGTGAAATGATGGCTGTCAGCTTTAATGTCAGATCCATGGATGGACGTGAAATCAATGGTCAGATGAACAGTTCTCTCATTAATGAGGAGAGAGGTCGTGCCCTCGAGAAAACCAAAGGTACCGCCTTTTCATCTTCCCCCTGTTAGCCTATAAATAGGAGTCCCTTTTTACCGTTTCACTTTTTACCAGAAATCAACAATCACCTCAGAGCTCTGTTTCTCTGTCTTTTCACTTCGGCAATCTCTTAAATCACATCTTCTGAGTAAGTTCACTTCTCCCTCTTTAGTAATGGCTAGGACAGCTCGTACCCATAAAGAGACTGTGAGGCCAGACTTCACCGAAGCAGAGAGACCCGACCCTTCCGAGGAGAGAACCGCTTCTGAGGCCGGGGAAGGGGGGGCCGAAGCGTCTCATCAGGTCGAGACACCCCAGGGACAAAGCGAAGAAACCGAGGTCGAAGCGGAGGTCCTCTACAACGATGACCTCGGCAACGAAGTTCCTAGGGATGAGGGAGTGCAAGAACCAGCTACCCCTCCGAACTTGACGGCGATTGACTACGGCCTAGTCCCTATGTTCAGCAGCATAATGAGTCGAGTCCTGATTGCCGAGCTGATCCGTCAGTACCCCTGGAGGAGGGATTACAGCATCTATCCTCCTCGACCGGACCAGTCGGCCGAGCTCCCTCCCCGGGGTAGAGTGGCCATATACCTCGACCAGTTGGAGGCCGGGTTAAGAGTGCCGACCACGAGGTTTCTCCGGGACTGCCTGAGATATTGGGGAGTGAGAATCACTCAGCTCACCCCTAATTCGATTCGGGTCCTGGTCGGCTTCCAAATGTTGTGCCGACATCAGGAGATAACTCCTACAGTCAACCTCTTTCGTCACTGCTACTCACTGAAGAACAGTGGGAGTGAAAAGGGATGGTACTACTTCAGGAACAAGGTCCCGAAGTTAGTGGTAGATGCACCCTCTTCCATCAAGGAGTGGAAAAGGAACTTCATTTTTGTCCCGGCTGATGACTTCCCAAGAGGGTTTTGGTGGAGGCCTCCCACCCCGGTCAAAGAGACCTCTCCGGGCAAATTGGAGGAGGGCAACTTCAAAAAGCTGACGGAGTCGGGCCTCAGGATCAACTGCTGGGATTTTTTCGAGGCAGTTCTTGTTGACGGCGGAATCAGCCGAGCTCTCATCAGCCCAGATCGTCCGCCATTTTTTTCTAATAGGCTTGAAAAACATTGTACTTCTTCGCTCCTTACTCTGTTTTTCCTCTTTTGATTCTAACTAACTCTACTTTTGTGCTTCACAGTGACGAAAGTTTTTGACCTGATCACCGCGGGGGCGTCAGGGGTAAATCAGAAGCCACCCAAGCGCAAGGACACAGCCGAACCGTCCACTCGGCCGAAGAAGAAAATGACCCCGGTAACAACTACTACGGCCACGGCAAGCAGGAGATCTCCCGTGATAATCACCGGGGAGGGTTCCTGCACGACGACCATTCTTGTCGGGGTGCCCATCAGAGGGATAACCATAACTTTTCCACCCCGGAGCAGGGGAACAACGGCGTTTCCCGTAGTCCCCGTGACGGGGTCCTCCCTTTTTAACCTTCACAACGTTCCTTCACAAGAAGCCGGGGAGAATAAAAGGCACTCCGGCGCGCAATGGTGTCCGGAGTGGGAGTTCAATGTGAACGATCGCTGCAAGAATCCCTTGGTCGCTCAGGAGCACCTGGTCCATTCAGTTCTGCCCAGGGATAACACTTACGCCAGGAAGCTCACTCCGGGCGAACTGATGCAGAGCGCCTCCGTCTCCTGGGCTTCCACCACGGCTTTCCTCGCCGAACTGACTCAGCGCTATACTAGGCTGGTCGAAAACTATCAGCCTTCGTCCGAGCTTGAGAAGAAGGTCGCCGAGCTGGAAGAAAAATTGAAGGTGACCGAGCAGGAACGTGATAAGGCTGAGGTGGCGCGAGAGCAGGCTGAGGCTACCAAAAATTCCTTGACGACGGCCATTGAAGAAGAAAAAGATAGGAGGGCCCAAGAGGAACAGTCAGCCCAGGCGGCCATTGAGAAAGCGGGGACCTCTGCACTGGAGGCCTTCCGGAAATCGGAGGGTTTTCTCAAGGACCTCGGCGAGCTCACACTGCCGAGCTTTATGTTCGGATACACCTACGCAGTTCATGATGCGGCGCCCTTTCTCACTTCGGAACAGCTGGAGTCCCTTCACAACAAGGATAATTTTAACCAGGATGCCAAGGAACTGTTCGACCGCATGGCCGAAGGCATCCGGACCGGGAGGGACTTGGCCGAGGTGAAGGAGGAGTTCAACAAGTGACTGTCTGAATTTGATCTGGATGGGGCTGAACTCCATGACGAAGACGACGGCACTGAGGGCGAAGGTGGAGGAGTCGAGGCGACCGGGGACAACCAGGAAGCCAGGGTAGGGGGTGTGTAGGTGTTGAACTTATCGAGTCGCCGAGGCGACGGGTTCTTAGAATCATACCCGACCTCGGTACTATGTAACTTGTTTTTATCATTAATACAATGACTTCCAATTTTTCCCTTCTTTTTTATTCGATCTCGGCTAATGTGTACCCGTTCTGTCCCCTTATTTTTTCACTTAGAATATCATGAAATAATAGTAAGGAAGAAATAACAGATGAGTCGAATATATAATAGAGTACATACCCTTTAGGGGTGATACAATCTGAGGTTCTCAGCGTGCCAAGTTCGAGGCACCCGAGAACCATCCCGGTAAGTTAATTTACAATATCCGTTTTGGCTGGACTCGACAACACGGTAGGGTTCCTTCAACTTGGGGCTGAGTTTCCCCTGAGGTTCAGCTCGGCTGACCGAATTCTTCCAGAGCACAAGGTCTCCAGGACTGAACCGTAGGTGTTTGACCCGGGCATTATAGTAGCCAACTAGGATATTTTTGTAAAGGGCAACTTTGGCCGCTGCCATATCACGCTTCTCTTCAGCGAGGTCGAGGTCAACTCGCCGCTCTTCTTCATGAACTTCGGCAGCATACGCGGCCATTCGTGGGTTGGGCGTGATGAACTCGGTTGGGACCACAGTTTCGGACCCATACGTTAAAGAGAATGGGGTCTCTTGGGTTGCCGACCTCGGGGTGGTCCTATAAGACCACAAAACGCTAGGGAGTTCTTCCATCCAGGACGATCCAGCTCGGTGTAATCTAGTTTTGAGACCATGAAGGAGAGTGCGGTTGAAGTTCTCGGCCTGTCCGTTGGCCTGAGGGTGTCCAACCGAGGTGAAATGCTGTTTGATTCCAAGGTTGTCACACCACGCTTTGAAGGGGTTATCAGCGAACTGCCTTCCGTTGTCTGAGATGACCACCCGGGGTAGGCCGAAGCGACAAACCACGCTTTTCCAGAAGAATTTTTGGACCGCGGATCCAGTGATGCTCTTCAGGGGTTCCGCCTCGACCCATTTGGTGAAGTAATCTATCGCCACCACCACGTAGGCATAATTACCCGGGGCTCTCTGGAATGGGCCAATTATGTCAGTCCCCCATTGCTCGAAGGGCCATGGCGAGGTGATGGGAATCATAAGATTGGTTGGCTGGTGGTGCTCAAGGGCGTGATGCTGGCAAGAAGGACAACTAAGGACCATGACCTGGGCATCCACCCTCATGGTGGGCCAGAAATACCCAAGCAACAAAACTTTTTTAATGAGCATTCTGTAGCCGACGTGAGCACCACAAAGTCCCTCGTGTATATCTTGAAGGATTCTCTCGCCTTCTTCTGGCTTAATACACCGCAGTCATGGGCCGAGGTATGACCTCTTATATAGGAGGTCTTGTCAGAGAGCGTACCGAGCTGCTTTACGCTGAAACTTTCTCGATTCAGCTCGGTCATCAGGGAGCTCCCCCCGACTGAGAAATCGGATCAAGAGGCCCATCCAGGTGTCACCGGGGCAAACGGGGCACACGACTTCTTCTAAGTATCTCGGCTCGGCTAAGACTTCCACGAGTACCGACTTGTTCAAGTCAGAGAACGAGGTGGAGGCGAGCCGAGAGAGGGCGTCAGCTCGTTTGTTCTGCGACCGTGGTATTCTTTGGATTTCGAAAGACTCGAAGTGTGCGATCAACTGGTGGACCTTGGCAAGGTAGCGATGCATGACCTCTTCTCTAGCCTCATATTCACCCAATATATGGCACACGACGAGTTGGGAGTCACTGTAAATCAAGATGTGCCCAGCGCTGAGTTTGCGGGCTAGCTGGAGTCCGGTAATGACTGCCTCGTATTCGGCTTCGTTGTTAGAAGCAGCGAAGTCAAACCTTAAGGCATATGAGCACACCTCTCCCTAAGGGTCTTCGAGGAGCAAACCTGCTCCACTATCCTCACTGTTAGACGAGCCATCCACATGCAGAATCCATTGCTGAGGCTCAGCGGTGGCCGGGATTGACTTATTCACCTCATCGAACGTGAGTTCGGCCAAAAAATCCGCCAGGGCTTGAGCTTTGATAGCCGTCCGAGGTTCGTAAGACAGGTCGTACTCTCCCAACTCAATAGCCCATTTAGTAAGGTGTCCGGAAGCCTCCGGCCGTGATAAGACTTGCCTGAGAGGTTGGTCTGTTCTCAGACAAATGTGGTGAGCTTAGAAGTAGGGTTTGAGCCTGCGGGCAGCATGGATTAAGGCCAGCACGAGCTTTTCTGCCTGGGTATACCTGGTTTCTGGACCCCGGAGGACTCGGCTGACATAATAGACTGGTATTTGTACACCCTCCTCCCTTATCAGCACTGCGCTTACTGCTTCGGCCGCGGCAGACAGGTACAAAACAGCTTGTCCCCTGGCCGAGGCGAGGTAAGCGTTGGGAGGTGGTGAAGGTATTCTTTTAATTGCTCAAAGGCCTGTTGACATTCTTCAGTCCAGGAGAAGCTGTCGGCCTTCTTGAGAACCTTGAAAAAAGGTAACGCCTTGGAGGCTGACAGCGACAGGAACCGGTTCAGGGTTGCCAACCGCCTTGTGAGCATCTGCATCTCACGGATGGACCGATGTGGAGATATTTCCTGGATCGCTCTCACTTTATCTGGATTAGCTTCAATGCCTCGACTTGAGACGAGGTAACCCAAAAATTTTCCCGAGGTGACCCCAAAGACACATTTCTTGGGATTTAACATCATTCGCGTCTTCCGGAGGACCTCAAGGACCTCTTTCAGGTCAGAAAGGAAAGTGCAGGTCGTCTGATTTTTAGGAGAATGTCATCCACATGGGCTTCGACATTTCGCCCGATCTGGGACTTGAAAGCTTAGTTGACCAAGCGTTGATATGTGGCCCCGACATTTTTCAGTCCGAAGGGCATGGTGGTGTAGCAGTAGGTGCCTTGGTCAGTGTAGAAGGCCGTATTCTCCTGGTCCTCTGGATTCATTCCGATCTGGTGATACCCTTTAAAGGCATCAAGAAAACAGAGGATCTCATAACCCATTGCCGAATCCACCAGAGTGTCGACCTTGGGCAACGGGTAGCAGTCCTTGGGGCAGGCCTTATTGAGGTCGGTAAAGTCGACGCACATTCTCCAAACTCCCGTGTCCTTCTTCACCATGACCAGGTTGGATAACCAGGTCGGATACTGAACTTCCCGGATTATCATAGCGGGCAGGAGCTTATCCACTTCTTCACCTACAGCTCGGCTGCGCTCAGGGCCGAGGTGCCTCCTTTTTTGCTTGACCGGGCGTGCCTGAGGGTCAACGTTCAACTCATGTACCATGAAGTGATGTGGGACTCCTTGGACCTCATCTGCGGCCCAAGCGAAAACATCCCGGTACTCTCTGAGAAGATCCACCATACCTTCCTTAACTGGGCCGGGCAGGCAGTTACCGACGCGGATCGTCTGATCCGGACTCATGGGGTCCAGGGAGACCACCACCACCTCATCTCCGGCCTCTAGTCTCTGGGGCTTCTCAGTTTGCTGCGGATCGAGGCAATCTATCGAAAGGATGTCTGACCTCTTTTCGGATCTTCTATCAGAGGTCGATGGGGAGGCCGCTTGTAAAGTGGCGAGGTAGCACTCCTGGGCAGCACAGACGTCGCTGCTTACCTCGGCGACCCCCGCGGGGGTGGGGAACTTAAAGCTCAGGTGGTACGTAGAGTACACCGCTCGTAAAGCGTTAAGCGTGGGTCGGCCCAGGAGCAGTTTGTACGAAGAGTCGGCCTTTACTACGACAAAGTTGACGGGGATAGTTCGGCAATGGGGGTAACGCCCCACGGTTACCGTCAGGGTCACCATCCCTTCGGGATGCACAACGTGTCCCCCGAATCCTACAAGAGGAGTCCTTACCGGGGTCATGTGTTCCCTGGCCAACTTGAGGCTCTAAAAAGTACGGGGGTACATGACGTCCACCGAGCTCCCTGGGTCAATGTAGACCTTCTTAATGATATAATTGTTGGTGAGCACCTCAATCACCAAGGCTTCATGACTGCTCAAGGCAGCAGGGACGGGATCGCTGGGTCCATAAGAGATCACTTCGGACAGGCGGGAGCTCGATTCGGCCTGATCCGGGTTAGCCTGCCAGTAGGTCCTCTTCCGGAAATTCTGGCTATCTCCTCTCGTCGGACCTCCGGTAATTGTATTGATGACCCCGGCTATGTTGGGTCCATACCCTAATCCATGACCTGAAGATCCGTCTCGGGAAGGCCCTTTTGTCTCCTTAGGATCCTCTGGAGGCCTGCAACTGCTTCTGGACGTCCGCCTTTCGTCTTGGCGTTGATCACCCCGGCTGTCTCGTCGGGGTTCATTACGTTGCAGACCTCCACCTCGGTGGATGAACTGCTTCAGGTGCCCCTGCCTGATGAGGTTCACGATCTCCCTCTTGAGATCGTTGCAGTCTTCGGTTTCATGCCCGATATTCCGGTGATACAAACAGTAGAGGTTCGAGTTCCTCTTATTCCGGCTGCCGAACATTTTGGGAGGGGCCTTCCCGAGGTTGTTCTGTTCCATCACGGACAACACCCAGGACCGAGTAGTGTTCAAAGGGGTCAACTCGGACTCGGGGATGGATGCTTTCCCCTTGGAGATTCGGTCGAACACACTGCGGCGGTATCGGTTAGGGCTTTGGAAGCCACTCCCTGCCCCCACTTCACTTCGGCCAGCCTCTTTTCCCCTTCGGGGATCGGTCCTTGAGCGGGTGGTCTGGACCTCTTTCTTCATGCGGTTGAGGTCTTCGGCCTGTATGCCCTTCTCGACCTTCAACCACAATTCATGGAGTGTGCGGGGATACTTCTTGTGGATCCCCGTATTGAATACTCCGACAACGAGCCCATGGGTAAAAGCAGCAATGGTGACCTGCTCATTAGGATTAGGTATCTGCACGCTTTCTTCGTGGAACCTCTGGACGTACGACCGAAGTGATTCTCCCGGGTTCTGTTGCATGTTGAACAGATAAGCTGAGGTCCTGGTCGTAGGTCGGGAGGAGACAAAATGGTGAAGAAATTTCTCCACTAATTCCCCCAGGGTTGAAATGCTCATAGGTTCTAAACCCTAGAACCATTTTCGAGCTGTCCCCTGGAGGAATACTGGGAAAGCCCGGTATATGACGGGGTCAGGGATGCAATACAGGCGGAAGGCCGAGATGAAGGCATGAATGTGGTTTTCAGGATCACCTCGGCCATCGTAAGATGGTATCGAGGGGAGCTTGAAGTTGGGAGGAAGCCTCTCCTCGTTAATGTCATCCGTGAAGGGTGAAACCCTCTAGTAATCCACCCCAACTCTCTCCATGGGTCGAGGTTCCTCAGGTCGTCGGCCCAAGAGCCCTCTTGACAATGACCTGGTTAGGGAGGCTACCTTAGAAGTGGCCTTGGAGAATGCTTTCTTCGAAGCACTTCGGCTCAAGCGCTTCCCGTCGGAGTCTTCCTCGGACGAACCTTCAGGGGATCTATCCGACTTCCTTTTAGAGGACTCGGCCTTTTGCTTGCCTTGTCTCATAAGATACCTCCCTAACTCCTCGAAGATGTTAGGGTTCTCGGTCACAAACTCAGCCATACGGGTTATGGCTTCTTCGTTTGCGGGCTGGGTTCTTGGGGACTCCTGCCCTTCGAAAATATCTTCTTGCTGAGTCGCATTACTTTGCTCAGCGCCAATAGTGAGAGCTTTTCTGCTCTTAGAACGCGTAGGCTTCATCCTCTGATGTCTTCGCGTTCCCACAGACGGCGCCAATTGAAGAGGTGAATTCTGACCGGCTGGAGTGAACCGTGTGCTGGTAGTGCTACAGCTGGAAAGGTCACGGCGGTTCTGGTCACCTGCTTAGGTTACAAGAGGGGCTAAATCCCCCGGTAGAACTCCGAAGCTTAAGTCAGTTCGGAATTGGGAAAATAGTTTAATAGAAGAGAGAATCAGTGTATGGTTTTACCAGGAAATTGGTCATCCCCTTCTTCAGTAGAAGCTTTGAGTATTTATAGAGGATGGACAGGAAAGAGGGACTGCTGGCACGGGTCCCTAGAGATCTGCCAGGGGCAGAGCATCAAGTTGATGTGATGGGCTTCTGCAAAAAGGCGCGCCGGAACAGTTGTCAGAGTCAGGCGGCACATGTCAGGGCAGCTTTATCAGAAGTGTCAGAGGTGTCAGAGGTCATGTCCCACAACTTCGGTGGTCAGGTCTCCATACTTTACTTCGGCCTTATGATAGAAGATCTTGGCCGAGGTGATAGCTGGGCCGAAGTCACGGCCCCGAGGGGACTGCTCAGGCGGGGGTTCCAAGAGTGCCACTGGGCAAAACCCCAGCACTATCCGAGTTGGAAATACCCTCCTCACTTGGCCGAAGTCAATGGCTGAAAACTTTTCCAGAATGCTTGGCTAATTTTGTTTTTTGACTTTAGACTATCGAGAGCATGGCTAAACAGGTGGCCGAAAGTTGAAGCCTAATTTCTTGTGAACTCAGTCCTTTCGGATGGCTGAGGGATGCAGAAAGTGCTTGAAGCTATGGCTGAAAGAGTTCGGCTGACTTTGTATTCTCCAAACTTTCGTGACAATTCACTTCACTGTTTTGTAAACTCACTTTCATCCAATTTAAGTCAGTTTAACTCATTTCAAAGACTTAGAACATCTACATGGCACTTCATGAACACCATTAGACTGCAATCATTAGTTTGTTATCATCAAATCTAGGGAACCAAGTCGTATTGAGCAACATTCTCCCTCTTTTTGATGATAATAAACCAATGATGCTCAAGCAAGGATAAATCATAACATCAATCAAGCATCATTAATGAAGTATCATTTTTCTAAATGACAACATCAACCGTGCATCATTTTTCTATTGCCTCTTTTGATATCATCAAAACGAGGGCTGAAGACATCAAAATTCACAAAGTTGACGGCACATACATAAGGAGGTCATGTAGAAAATCAGGCTACAAGTAAGGGCAGCATAGATATAGTACATACATTAACTCCTCCTGAAGGTAAGACTACTTAGAGAATGTGAGAAATAGTAAGAATAAAGATCACTTAGAGAACACATATGAACTTAGAGCACATAAAGTAAGCATTAGTATTAAATAGTGAGAAACTATTTACGAGTGACCAATGGCTATTTTTGTCTTGAGAATAGAGAAGGAACATACAAAATCCTAGAACTCCTAAGGCTAAACTCGGTTGTGCGTGTGGATGATGGAAGTCTTAGAGGACACATCATGGTTGAATTCTCGCGTACGATTAGCTAACAATGTTTCCTTGGAATCCATTTGGAATGATTGTACAACTTCTTTTGCAATGTTTTGAACCTAACTGATTGCTTTTTCAACATGAGCGACACCTTCAAGAGTGGCTTCACAAGTTGCAGCTTCGGGTTCCACATGTGTTAGGCCAGGAGAAGTTGGAACAGATATTTTACCCTCAGTTTGCTTAGGCTGCTGATTAATCTCTTGTTCATCCTCAATATTATTATTTGATTAGGCTCATCTGAATCAGTCTCACTCTCGAATTCCTCAGGTATGCTTTGTTTATAATCTGAATATTGTGATTGAGCTCCGAAAGATATATTTAACAACTGGTTGTACTCAATACAATCTATCCTCTTTTCTAATCTCTTAAGCTTTTCCAACTACCTCTTTTCAAGCTTAGCTTGCCTTTTCTTCATTTTCTCCATTCGTTGTCAATTTTTTGAAGATAGAAAAGAACTTGACCAGTGTCTTGGGAAAAGGGAAGAGATTGTGGTTGTAATGGAGTACTAGAAAAGGGAATACGGGAAAAGTGAATAGAGGTAGGACCACTAGAGGAAGGAGGATTTGGTTGCTGAGAATGAAAAGGGGAAGGTAGAGGAGTTTTACGAACAAGGTACTTGACTTTCGTCAACCACTCTCTTTTGTAGAACTTAACATGAAGAGACTAAATACATCTATTTTAAAAAATTGTCTTTGTGATAGCTTTATCCGTGAGAGAAATTTTGAAGTGATAGGACATATGAGTTAGGAATTTTCCAAAAAAAGCATGTCTCAACGAGTATCATTGATGCAAGAGAGTATGTACTCACATATGATGAACCCAAAATCTATAGAAATTTCCTTCATAACATAATAAAACAAATATAATCCCATCCTATTTAGTTCACCTCTATGACCATGAGTGGGAACAACAAGATTACAAATAATAGCCAAAATGATATGATAAATAGGATCAAGATAGGACAGTTTAGCTTTAGCAGCGAATGTAAATGAAACTTTGAAAAACTTTTTGAGTTTAACTATGTCAAATTGATGAGCTTTATTAGCCCAAGTACCATAGAAGAAGAATCTAAACACTCAGGTGATTCTTTGGGCTTACAAAGAAACAACAGATTAATTACTTTCCCATCAAAAATCACGTCAACACCATTCTTAATTACTTTCCCATCAAAACTCATGTCAACTACAGTATTTTTTTTATTCCTTTAGTGATAAAAGTTAATTCATTTTCATCCATCTCTACATCCTTAATATTAAGGGAGAATGAACCCTTTTATTCTTGAGAAGTTTTGAGTGCAATACTTCTCTTGACTCTAACTTCTTCCTCATCTTGCACTTTTGACTTGAGTTTCAACTCATAAGAAGTTAATGAGTTTACAAGAGATTCAATAGGCATAGAATTCAAGTTTTTTGCTTCTTCTATGGCCGTGGTCTTAGTTTCCCAATCATTAGATAAGGTATTCAAGATCTTTCTATTTTTCTCATTCAAAGAATACTCTTTACCAAATACTTTAAGATTCCTAATGATATCATTAAATCTATAATACATCTTATTAATATTCTCATATAGTTCTATTTTGAAAGATTTATATTTGGTGACAAGCCAACACTTCTTTTGTTCTCTAACATCATCACTACCTTCATGACTTTCTTTCAATTTATCTCATATTTCTTTAATACACTTACAACTTTTAACTCTAGTAGATTCATTAGCATCCAAAACATTACACAAACATTCATTGCCTTTGCATTTAAGGTGAGATTAGTCTTATTTTCAACAGTTAATTCACTTCTAATTTTAGATTTGAACCTACCCAAATCTATATCTAAAATAGTGGCTTCATAAGGACATTCATTTACAATATACCATAATTCTATGTCAATAAATTGTAAAAATATTTTCATACGTCTCTTCCAACTAACATAGTTCACACTATTAAATATAGGTGACCTAGTGATGGATTGATCCTTTAAAAATAATGCAATATTGGTTGCCATATCTATTCCAAAACTAGTTGAACTCAACTCTCTAGAAGACCAAACTCCGATACTAATTGTAAGGTCCCAAAACAAACTAAGAAGGGATGAACTATGCTGACTAAAAAGCTAAGCAAGTGATAGCAAATTTTCACCTAATTGTACTAGCCAAATTAACCTAAGTAATCACACACTTATGCCAATAGAAAACAATAAAGTTGAAGCAATTAAAATTACACAATTGAGTAACTTAAAAGAAGGCAACAAAATAAAAGGAATCGCAAATTGATTTATAGTGGTTTGGCACCCTCTTTGATACCTATGTCCACTCCCAAGCTCTTCCAAACTCGAAACTCAATCTACTATTGTGTTTCTTCAAGGTTGGTGAAGCAAACCAATTTGTATATAGAAGGGCTCACCATTTGCTCACACTAAACTCACTGTACTTGAGTCAAAGGATTTTACAACTCTCAAGCTAACCATCTCTAATTCTACAATTGAATAGTCATTGTACAATGAAGATCACAATACTACTTTTCCACCGCACAAGGATGCGAGAGTACAAAGAACGGAGTATTTTCCATGAAAATCACTCAAGGAGAGTTGTATTTAATGTATGCAAAACTTCTTTAATGTTCTAGACTTAAGGTATTTATAGGAGACCAAAATCTAGTAAAAAAGGCTCTACATTAAATGTAGAATAAACTAGCAATTGGACAATCAGGTTGGCCTAAATTTCTATTGGGTGGTCAAAGTGGCATCCGAATTCTGGTTTATTGTGTTGAGCATCATCATTTTGGATGGCCGAAGTATTCCTTAGTGGTCAAAATTG